CTCCCCTTCACCTTCACACCCCCCACCAGCCTCTCCTTGCTGGTGGGAACAAGGTCCAGCATAGCACCTCTCCTTGTTGGCTCCTCTACCACTTGGAGAAGGAAGTTATCATCAACGCATTCCAGAAACCTCCCGGATTGCTTATGCCCTGCCGTGTTGTCCCTCCAACAGATGTCGGGGTGGTTGAAGTCCCCCATGAGGACCAGGGCTTGTGAGCGTGAGGCTGCTCCTATCTGTCTATAGAGGGCCTCATCCGCTCGGTCTTCCTGGTCAGGTGGCCTGTAGCAGACCCCCACCATAATGTCACCTGTCCCTGCCTTCCCTTTAATTCTGACCCATAAGCTCTTGGTCGGCTCCTCATCCATCCCCAGGCAGAGCTCCCTGCACTCCAGCTGGTCATTGACATAGAGGGCGACACCCCCTCCTCGTCTCCCCTGCCAACGACTTGTGTTGTTCAAATTCCTCGTGTCTCAGTCTTGCACCCCATTTTAGAGAGATACATGCTTATTCCTTCTTGCCCAGCTTTTGAGGATTGAGGCGTGGAAGCCATCATATGGCTTTATCTTCCAACAGTTGAAAGTCCAGAACATATCCTCCCCAAAGGAGGAAAGAAAGCTAAGCATGCTATGATCTCTCTGTGATATTCAGTGTGCCTCGTTCCCTATAATAATCTGTTAATACAATTCAAGTTTGCAAAGAAAAGTATTAGTTTAAAAATCAACAAATACAGGCAGCCAAATTGCTTGGGTCTATCTGCCCTGCCAATCTCTTCGTCATTCTAAACATAATAACTATTCCGTGTAATAGTTTTCTCTGGTAGGAGACATGTTATTATGACTGGACAAATCCCTCCCCTCCCCTCCCCCCCGCAATTTTGACTACTTTCATAACTAAAGGAGAAAAAAAATGCAAACTCACATAGCGCTGTGAAATCTGTTGCCTTTCACTGGGGTCTCCCAAAGGGCAGACGCACAGATCAGAGATGGACACTCCTGTACACGGGGCCACAGCAATCAACATTAGCAGGGACCCTGGCTGTTTTTCCAGAGGCAGCTCTAAGCAATTGGTCTGCTTCGTCGGCAGGGCAGTAATGTCAACTTGGCACCTAGAACGACATTGCCAAGGGTTAATAAGAAAAAAAGAGCTGGGAAAAAAAAAATAAAGCAACTATCTTGATTTTGGTAGCAAGCAGGCACCAAAACTTGCTGCTTGTTCAGGATGTAAAGAATGCAAAAAAAAAAAGGCATCTCAAAGTTAAACATGGGAAATCAATTAGCCAGTTTCTATTGCACTTACTGTCAGTTTTGCTTTCTGGTTCACCTACTGGTAAGCAGAGGTAAAAGGTTTGGGCTGCAAGTACAGTAGGAAAACTTAACTCTGGCCTGCCTCACTTCCCCTCTAAAATCCCCTAGTGCTTTGTGATGGATTTGAAACACAATTTTATTTCACCTAGGGGAAAAGAAAAGGGGCAACGCAAAATTTAAAACATTAGCCTAAAATAGATTAGTTTCTTTAAAGTCACATACTCCATTTTATGCTACATTATACTGTATGCCCCAATCTCTTTTACAAGCCTTACTAGAGCTACATTTTCAGTGCACTGTTATATTTCCCAAAGGGAAGGATTGCCTTAAAAGTCCCCCCCAACCCCTACATATAATATATATCATTAACCTGATACTTCCCAAAAAAAATTAAAATAAGGAGGAAAAAAAGAGGAATTCATAAAGAGACAATAATAAAAGAAGAGTATGGGCTAAAACAGATAGGATCACTAGACAGCCAGTTATACACGAAGGGAGCAGTTAAATGCAACAGAAAGCCTAATCACTTGGCTCGGCTAAATGCCTTCTATTTAGAAGTCCAGTAAATGGAGTGGAACTTTTCTGAACCTCCGTGGGGCTTGGCTTTTAAGAACAGGCTGAACAAAAGTTACAGATGAAAAAGGAAAAAAAAAAATTAAGGAAGGAGAAGCTTTGTTGCCACAGTGCAAGGGGAGTCACATTTCTCAAAGGGACAGCGAGCGGATGATGGAGGGCGAGAGCTTTCGCTCCGCTTAATGCCTGCCGACAAGTTTTTATTTAAACTAAACTTGTTAAGGTGTTGTCTTAATAGGCTAAAATTCCACAGGGTTCCCCCAGGTGGGTTTCTTCTGGGTAAATGGTGCATGTAGTGTTCCTGATTGATCCCATTCCAGTAGTAGAGCTGGAGCGGTTTATACCCATCTGCTATAAATTGCATGCTTTCCGCTTCTTAACAGCCTATTTTCTGCGAATGCTAAGGGGGGCGGAAAAAAAAAAAATCCCAAAACATTTCAGCCTGAAAACCCAAACTATGTTATGAAGTAAAAGTCATTGCTCTGATGAGTTTTTAAGTCATCCAGTAACTCCGTGTATTAAAACACAGCTCTTGCGTAAGCTTCTTCTGACCAGAATCAATGGGGGTGACTTTGCCTTAAGTGTGCTCTTTGGTATTCACCGCACTGAATGTACAACAGGTTGCAAGTTTACTCTTATTAACTGCTTTCAAGTGCTTTGAAAGAGAAAGAAAACAAACCAGGAAGAGTACCGACACTGTTTGGCGCGTAGGCTGCCTCTCAACACAATTTCCAAGTGTGAGAGGTTGCATTTAAAGCTCATTGCTATGCCTAGACTCTTCAGAAAGATATGACAACAGACAATACAGCAGAAAGGAATAAAAAACAACAACAAAAAAGGCAAACATTTGAGAAAAAGACCTTATCACTTCCACACTGGAGGTCAACATCACCTTGGCTGCATTAACACAGTTGCTTCTCAGACTGCAGCAGTTTTACTGATACTTTAGGTATCAGTGCAAAAGGGGGAATGTATCATTATCTTGGCGGTTTGGGTTGGGTTTTTTTGTGGTTTGTTTTTTTTTTTTATTTTACAGATGAAGAAACTGAAGCAAGGAGAGGGGAAAACTCTGGGGTCACCCAGCTGGTCTGTGGTTCAGCTGGCAATACAGGCCACGTCTCCCACATCAGCATTTCATACACCACCCACTCACAGTCCACAACTGGGAAAAGCTGCATTTGCTTTTTTGTGTTAAGAACTTTCCATAGGGTAAGACAGAAAAGACAACTCGTTCAGACAACGGTGCATCTCCCACCAATAGATAACCTCAGAAATCTCTCGTATCTCAAAGACAAAGTTAAATATAATTCTAGCTTGTTTTGGCAAATAGGAATTGTTTCTCTTATTAAAAGAATTTGATTAGCCAAAGGTTAAAGAAAAGATCAAGTATAAGGGTGTGGGGGTAGGAGGGATGCACATGTGGAGGGGAAAACAGCAGGAGGTGGAGTATAAGCATTTCTTCCTCAAATCATGTCTGATTTCTGTGCAAACTAACTTCCTTAAAACATCTGTGTTCACTCAAGGTGATGGTATGCCTCTATTTTCTTTTGAGGAACTGAAAAGAAAATCCAACATTTGCACTTGCAAATGGCAAAAGGCTTAAGAAAAAAAAAGACAGCTGTTTCATTTAGGTTACACAACATAATTGATCAGACTGCAAAGAATGCAGGTTGGTAAAAACAATTAGACATTCAATTTACTATATAATTCAGCAGTTTCCACACAAACGTTTCTACACTATTAAAACAAGTCTAATGATTTCCAAACTACTTCCCCCATCCTCCTGAAACAGAAACTCTTTCCTTTCCTTCTCTCAGCTTTCTATCTGCAAGAACTTATTACAAATAATTATTTCACAGGAAAGTTGTAAGAGACTATAGCGATGGGCACAGTATAAAACTAATGGAGGCAACCCACTTTTTGCTCAAAGTTGCCCAATATGAATGCAAAGGGCAAAACTCTCAGGTTATTTGTATTTTAGGTGATGCAAATGATCTCGAGTTAAATTCTCAACATAGTAATCCTATCTCAGAATACGATAGCTCTGCTTGTCATCTTTTGCTATATTACATATTAAATTCAGGTATAATCTTTCACACACATGGCTATATGCATGATCTATAGTGGATACAATTCTGTAAGTTAAGAGTGCATTGTGCACGCAAATGTATCACTTTTTTTTTTAACCACAATTAATCAAATGCTTTCCTTCCTCCTCCTGATCAATATTTAGGTCTACACCTCTATATTGACCTTTAGTCCCATAGAGGATTACACCACAGCTTTAATTTAAGACTGTTCTTTTGACTTACAGCCCTCATCTTTAGCTGCCAAACTTTTTTTTTCCCCTTTTTTATTCATTTTGCAGAGAAGTATTACTTGAGAACACTATACAGTAAATTTGGGATTAAATTATTTAACTTTATCAGGGAATCAAATGTTAAAATTTCATTAAAAGGTGCTGGGCTTAGCCTCTTACCAGTAATTATGGAGTTGTATTTTATTACTCAATCCACAGTTCATCAAATTATGATGAGCAAGTATCCTTAAATATATATAAATACCTATGAAAAAATCTGCACAAAACATTGCCTTTTTTTCCCCCTGCAGAATTCCTGAAAGCCCTTCACAAAAGAGGTCAGAATCATTATCACAGTATACAGCAAGATGCATCTATGATTAATATTTGGAAAGGAATAAATGCCACAGGTGTCAGGGAGACAATTAATAAGGTCTTATTCTGACTTACTCTACAGATAAGTTTTGGTTGTCTGATTCTTCCTATAGCTTGGTGAAATTTAAATGAAAGGTTTGGATGCAGCCATAGTAGATTTTGCTGCTCCATCCCAAAAGCATGGCCTTTAAAATAAGGATTGTTTCTTGTTGCAAAGACACTGTTTCCTGGAGGCATTCATCATAAAAATATTGGATGCACTCCAATCTCATAGCTCATGGTCTTAAGTCTAGCAGTTTTTGTAAAACTTCTTTCTTGAGGTAAATATGTGAAGGAAAAAAAAACCCAACATTTTGCAGCATGTCTTTTTCAAAACATATCCCTTAATGCAGAAACACTCTCTAACAACTTGGCATAAACAATTTAACTCTGCCCGGACAAATTCCGCACACGTTAACACCTTTGTTTATTAATATACATTAACATCATCTCCTGTTTATAGCATGCCTCTTATCCCAAAGGACACAAAAAAGCACTCAATAAATGTTACCAACAGTTCCGTGCAGACTAAATAGAGGGATTATTTCATCCAGCACCAAAACACAGCCACCCCTCAGTGTTGGACCCTGGCAGCTGAACCACTCTATGCTGCAGTATTTTAAGCGAGGAAGAGAAACTGGATCCAGCTGAAAATCTAAGGCGAACACAGGTAAGCTGAATGTAATAATTTAGCTTACGATGTGAGGGTTCATTTCGTGATAGGAGAAGGGTGTCATGAAATCACACCAAATGTTTCTTCACTAATTCAGAAGCAAAGGCCCCAGGTGTTAATGCTTAGTACCAGAGGTCCCACACATTTCTTATTCTACATGTTCCATAGTCTCCACAGATGCTTCAGGTCCTATTTCAAGAACAATATTTTACCTTGAAACCAAATTATGCCTGGGAGAAAAGCCATGTTCCAGGGGCTTAAGGCATCCATCCTACATGAAATCCTGGGTCTAAAGGAATTAACAGAAGTCTATTCCACAAAAGTTCAGCAGTCTGGATTATCAGACATGACTCCACCTTGTGCATCTCCTCAACTTCATTTAAATATTAAATATATATATATATATAAGGGTCTAACCAACACAGTTCAACCTACGTGGCTCTGAGGGAGCATAATGAATCCTACCTTTATCCACAAATTGACCACAGAATTACTAATTAAGATCCAGAAAATTTTGCCTTTTCCTTAAAACCATGCAAATTATTTGAGGGCAGTTGGGTTGTACTGCTGTATGTGATGACTGAATATAACCCACAAACATTTTACTAAAGAATCTTTCTTACAATGATGTCGTGAAATCCAGAAATCTCAAAACTCAACTTGGAAGCCATGGAGACAATAAACATGGCACCTCATAATGCTTTTTTGTCTACAGAATCCTTTTCCAGATTCGACTGCACTTGAACCCTTCATAAAATTTTATTGGGTGTCAAAAGTTTCTACAGTGTACAAACAAGGCTTGTTATTATGCATTTGGTGTTCACCTATTCTTGCAATTGCTCTTTAAAAATCTAGTAAAATTTTTTCCTGTTTTGATGCTACAGAGAATTTGCTGTGCTTAAGGCAACAACAGCAATATTTTCTCTCCACATAGACAGCAAAAATAACTTGAAGGTAAATCGAACAGACGCAGGCTTTCCCAGTGCTGAAATCTTTAATAATAGAATAAGCATTTTGCTGATAATTTTTTTCCACACTGAACACCGCTTGCCAGAAACCAGTAAGAAAAAAAAAGTGGGGGGGAAAACCTAAGGAAGAATTGCTCCAGCATCAGGGAGACTGAGCAGAGGCAAGCCGCAAACACTGCTACATTTCCTAACTCTAAACAGAATATCAGAAGTAATAAAAGTAACTGTGAGAATGGAAGGAACAGATTCATCTTCAGCCACTTCTCCATGTGATGAGCAATAGCATTCAGCCAGAAAGCATTTCCTGCTCTGCAAAACCACAAACATTTGTAGAGCCAAAGGGCATTGTTCTTTTCAGTGAATAGTTTCAAACTATTTGAATGCTTAAAGTAAGAGAACGTTCTTATGAGTTACTGTTATTTAGTCAGCAAGTTGTGAAACCCTCACCAGGTGAGAACAGCAAACAACTGCAGACAGGATCCCTGCCCCTAAGAATTTAGAGGTTGTGGCACTGATCCTGCAAGCAGATAAGCACAGGCAGACCCAAGAAGGGCTCCAGTAAATTAAACGGGTCTTGGTGGTGCTGCATGTAGCCAACTGTGCAGATGCAGTTTGGGGAGATGGGTCTAGATGACAATGCTGCAAGCCAAAAGAAGGAAGAAGATACAGTTATGACTAGGAAACTAAGACTGTACTAATACTGTACAAAATAAGATGGAATTAGAGCGGAAAGGAAAGAGCAGGACATAAGAGTAGGAACCATATTCTATTCCCATTAAAAAATTAAAATAAAAAGTTGACTGCTATCCCACAAAAAGTCTCATCTGCTAACGTGGCATAAGATCATTACTTGAGAATTTGAAGCTATAATGGAATAATGCAGTGGGACAAAATCTGGTATCGGTCAGGAGATAGGTAAATCACCTGTGAGGCCACCCCTGAAAATGATGCTTTAAACAACATGAGCTTGTGCAATAGCATGGGGCACCAAACCCACAGAGATCAGTCCTCTGTGGCAATGGGGAAGAGCTTACCCAAATAAAGCAAACCCAGGTAACAGGACCCATATGTAAACAAGGCTACAAGAACACACCACCAAGGTGCAAACAGAGAAGAGGGACACCAGTGCCACTCTCAAAAGGAGCACAAAGATCCCTGAGCTGCCGCCAGCCTGAAGCAGCGAATCAGCCCTGCGGAGCACAAGGGGTCTGGAGCAATATCGCCATGCAAATGCAGACAAGTACTGCCCCCCTGCTGCCACCGGCTCTCCCAGAAACGGCTGCCACTGAGCTCCTATGGTATTTGGGATTTTACAGTCAGCATGTGCAGAGTCAGCTTGGCTGTCTCCGCATTCAGGTCGTGGTTAATCAGTTACCCAGTAATTGGTTTTAATAAACACACCCTTACAGAGGCATCTGGACATGACCGGAATAAGGAGAGAAACATACAGTATGATGCTGGTAATGAAAATAAATTAATCAATTTTAAAAGTAATAATAAAAGTCACATTGTCTTTTGTACTTACCGCATCCCCTCCAAAAAACAAAAAAACAAAACCCAACTTACGTTCCCAAAAGCTCCTCGTGCTTTTTGTTATCCTTTCTCCAGACCTCAATGTCCAACATATCCTTCCTGTCAGAGAAGTAGTGAAAATCAAACTGTTCCCTCCACTGAGGATTTGCACTCTTACACAGTGTCTAGAAAACATGCAGTTATAATATTTACTTTTCTTAAACGGTACTTATTTCCACAGTAAAGCACATATCAATTCTTCTACAAGAACAAGGCCGGATGTTAGGACATCAAGTACTAAGGTCATTCCAACCAAAGCTCCCCAGCCTATCATGCAGAGCCTCATCTTTCTTAAAAAAAACCACCAAAAACTCTTTCCTCTCTCCCAATAACGATAAATATGCAAGCATGATGTGAATGAATGGCTGGAGAAGTTCTGAAATGCAAAGTGGATCCACCAGCTCCACTTTCAGTGAACCGTGGTCATCATTCAACCTCACTCACACACTGGAAGAAATCAAGAATAAACCTTTTGAGGACAATCACCTGAAAACAGGTTTGAATGAATTCAGCAACCCAAACCGGTATTTTTTACCCTTCTGTGTTAAGATATAGCAAGGAAGGAGAAGCCTTGAAATTATTAACATCCAGTTAATTTGATATCTGTAAATTGTCCCTCTGAGCTCAGCGAGATTGTTCATGTGTTCAGGTTACTCTGAGTATTCACCAGATTGGGACTTATATCACTTGCAATTCGTATCACACTACGCTACCCACCATCAGTATTAGCACGGCCACTGAGAGAACAGGAGATAGGATTAGCTGGACCATGGCTGAGATTTCTCCCACCTTGTCCGCTTTTCTAGGCCATGAGAGATGGTACTTCATAAGTTGAATAAACTCCAGGAAAGAACATGAAGTACTGCCAATTTGAAATCTTATTAGGGTGTAAAGGCAGCAGGCCCCAACTTTCGCTGGACCCCAGACAGAAATACTAAGCAATTAACTCATTGCAGACAACGTTGTGCTTGACTCCCCATTTTAAACTTTTTAATTTTCTGTGATTGCAAACAGCGCAGTCTTGCAGATTCATGACACAGGCTATGGACCATTACAGAGAAACATAAAAAGGGATCTTAATGGGAATAACGTATATTTCTTCTAAAATAACTAACCCATTTGTTATTTTTCAAAGCTGCTTTTCTAAATAAAAACATTGTATCATGACCTTGGTTTGAGGTCCGATGTGGGGGACAGAGTGCAGGTTTCAGATGCGCCTACATCTGAACTTTATGTTCTGTGAACTTGCTCTGTACGTTTTGTACAGGAGGGGGTTGGTTTGTTTGTTTCCTCCTCCTCCCTCCGCACTTCCAGTTCATGACATGCAAAGCTCTTGCTTTCTCAACAGAGTATTATTTTAATTATAGCCCCTCTCCTTATTAGACTTTGGAGATAAAGTGTGTATCTTTGGGAATCCCATTCCTTTCTCAGATTCCCATGAAACAGTACTGGATACAAGTAAACACAGCCTAGAAGAATAAAAATTCAAATCACCCGGTGAATATTTTGTGTGGTTGGGGGGGGGGAGGGCAGGTTCTGCTACATGTAACATCTTTTTCAAGAAAGGTGCTTTAAAAACAAAAATTCCCCTGCACTGGGAACCATTTCAGGTCTGCTTTTCCAGCACACCTAACATTGCAAACTTGACTTCTGTACTGGCAGAGATCAAAACACACATAGCTTTATTTCATTTCATATTAATGTCAAACATCCATCAATGTGATGAGTATGTTAAATGCACAAAAACAGATACACACAATATTCCTAACTTCCTATTTCTATATTGGCATATAAAACATATTAGTAAAATGTTAATGTCCCTGATCTGGTCTCCTGCTTTTGATTTCACTTATATAAAAGAGATTCAAGAATAGTTCCATCTGAGTTAGCAACACCAGTAAAAGAAACACGAAGTTCTGTATTGGCCTCAGCAAACTTAAGGAAATCCTTAATACTTACCTTACTCTTGTATCTTTGATCTCCCAGTTTGAGGAGAATAAAAATCTCTGCCAAGCCCCCTCCAGGGATGTCCTTTCCCTCCAAGAGCGTGATGGTGACCAGCCCGTTCCACAACTGGTTCTTGCGCAAAGAGTCGGAGAGTCGCACACTCCGCATGAAACTCGACTGAAAAGCAAGTCAGTGACGTGAAACATTTATACACCCAAACCCACATTTTTATGCTCAAACTGACTACGATATGAAAGCACCAGATGTGAGAGAGGTACCACGATCCCCTAGGAGTAAGGAGGGAATGGAGGGCAGAAAGGTGCTATGGATTTTCTGCCTGTACTGTACTACGGCTGGCCCCGTGAAGGGATGATGCTCAGCATCGGGGCAAAATCAGCAGGGTTAGCTTAAACCACCAGAGAAGTTGACTTCACCTAACCTGGCTGAGCTTCGGCAAGAGCAGACCTTGAGTGTCGAGAGCACTCTGTTACCTTGGCTCAGGGAAAGACACAGGACCGTGACAGGGAGAAGAGGTGGAAGAGGGGAGAAACTAAACAAAACTCCTAAATGTCTCCAGCTACGTCCATAAAATGCAGGTCCGTCCTTTCTGGGGAGACAGCCCACAACCATAAAGTCTATGGCCAGGTGAAAGGCTGAGCATGCATCTTCCACCTCCTCAATCACTCAACCGCCTGTCGTCCGCGTTAGCTCTTTGCCTGCTGCCTTTGCAGCTCCCGCTTCCAGAAACCGAGCTCACGAATCAAAAATACTGATGCCAGCTGAAAAAACACTGACACCACCGGGCTCTTTATCTGGAGTTATGGTTACCTGGTAGCTGCATTTGTTACCTTCGCAGCTTCATCCTACACAGCCCGGCTGCGCTAACAGTTTGCTAACTGGCAATATTTTATTGGACAGAGGATGATTAAATAGGCCTTTATTTGGGGGGAGTGAGCTGGAAACATTAAAACTCAAGGCTATACTTTTCTTCTCGCAGTAAAAATCCTGCCGTATTTTATTCTCGTGAAGCAACTTTTAACTCGCCACACTTCAGAGCTTCAATCATGTCATATACAGGTGGGAGCAAGACGGAGGAGAAGATTTCACAAGTCACTTTAAAACAGGATGTGTTAGCTTTAAAAGCAAGTAAGAAATATTGTTGCTAAATAAAACGATTGCAAAAGCACCTGATGTCTGAAGATTACTTTTTATGGATCAATTACCCAGCAACAAAATTCTTAAATCATGGGTGGTGAACTCACAAATTTTTTTACTCGCTTTTTACTGGTTAAAATACCCAACTCTTTGAATCCCACAAGCATATTAATATACTTCTATTTAAACATCCCGTTTGGCTTTCCTGGCACATTGATTAAAAATTCCTACCTTTAAAAAGAAAACGAGATTTTGATTCATAAATCCAGCTGCAATGTAATTTCTTTTTTATTTTTTTCTTTTAAAGTTCGTCTTTTAGGCCAAAAAGCTAGAGCATGACTGTTCCCATGGACATACTTCAAAGTCCCGGCAGATATATTCCTCCCTAAACACTGAACTATTTCAACATCCTTTTTATAAAAAAGGGAGTAATGTCCACAAGGGATCAAAGGGCATTCTACAGTCTGGCAATCGCCTTAGAAAAATGGCAGTGCTTCCATGAAATATGCCCTAAAATAATTTTGCAGCTTGGTATGTCCTAATTTCGAATTGGATGTTTATCTTGGAAAGGCTTCTATCTAACTTGTCCATAAAACAGCTCCACTTAGCTCTATGAGCCCTGTGAAAATGGAATCCAAAGCTGGCTATTAAAGGGGCCTGGAGATTGCTTCCATATGGCGTAACAGCATGGGAGTGGAGGGCTAAGGCCTACAGCAGGCGCTGCTTGGCTTGAGCTCCCCATCTATCCATGGACACTCGTTGCATTACACCATAACATCTGGATTATTGCTTGTAATGTCCCTGGGAAATATCCACTTCCCATCAAAGCCTTTATCTATCTCGGTTGTACTTTGAACATTTTAGTATTTAACATAGTCATGTTTGATGTGATGTACTTGCTGCTTTAGGACCAAGGATTTTCCCTCCCCCCCGCTCCTTCCTCAGAGGAGGAAGAGGTATTTGATGTTAGGTCACACAAAAAAAACAGACAAAGTTTATTATCCGCGTTACAATTTCTTTTAAAAACAAAGCATCCAGTTCTCTTCAAAGCTTCCAGGCTGAACACGAAAGACAGTTGTTATCACTCAGTTTTCAAATCAAATTTGGATTCTTTTCATTTTTTAACCAAGCCAGTATTTTAGGGAGTCACTCAGCGTTGGGGGTCTTCCAACCCAAATTCTGTAGCATACATAACCCCACCCTTTTAGCCATTGACTTGACAGTTCAAAGGACTGTTGGGAGGTACCCAAACCAGCCCAGATTCCACACAGTCCCGAGAAAAATCAGCGCCTGCAGCTCCGTATTACTAGAGCACATTGCAATTTATCAACTCTGACTTTCCAAAACAGGTGGCCCCTAGCAAATGGCCTTGTGCACCCCCTTTCTGGATGGCTGCACAGCTGCAAAAGTGCTCTGTGCTTATCTCAGAAGAGGGGTATGTTGATCTCCAGCTAACGGGACCTGGCCACTTTCTGGACAAGATCTAGCATCACTTTAGAACATCACACTGGATAGAGAAGCTAAGATGTCTGCAACTGGTTTAGGGCATAGTGCTGATCTGCAGCACCTCAACACAGGCTTGATGACTGCAGTCTGCTTCCTACCTCCCCCAACCCAGCTCTGCCACCGCCACAAGCCTCTCTTCAAATGGAGCGGCACAGAGCCCGGGATGGCCGCTTGCCTCGCACCCCTGCAAGACAGCCCATCACCTTAGGAATGCTTTGGATTTCCTGGACATGCCCAGGTCATTCCCACAGCGTGTGCTCAGCAGGTCTGGCATGTCTCCTGTGTCTCATATCATCTATGCACACGCCAAAGACCCACTCTGTGCATGCTCTGTGGCCACCTCTCCAGCCTCCCCAGGCACTTGGCAGGCTGTTCCTCTGACCACCCTGATGGAAATCCCAGCCAAACAGGCGGTGTCTCAGATTCCACTCACAGTTTCTGGAAGGAAGCATGTCTGGGGAAACCCAGATGTGTGGTAGACCCACGGACCTGGACCATCAATGAGACAACTTTAGTGTTGCCTGGGGAAATCTGCACTAGGGAAGATGCCTCCCAGGTGACAAGAAAATGCTATTGCATTATCTATTTTAAAAGTCTTACCTCCTCTCTGATACTCCACACCTACTCATTTCAAACTGATTTACACAGAGTTAATTGATTAAACTTCACAGCCTCCCTCTGAGCTGGAAAAACTATCACACAGCAGAGCACAGAGGAGTGCACTCATCAGCCCAAAGCTACTCAGGGGCAAAACAAGCACTGAAAAAACCCACCCCAAGCACTACACTAATCTGCCTTCACGATGAGACACCAGAAAAGTCAAAGCCCCTCTCTACACTGGCCAGAAAAGGAGGACATAACTGCTTAATCAGTGACAATTCTAAAGTGGTTTTATCTTTCCAGCTCTTCCCTTTCCCTGTTACCTCCCAGGCTACGGACGCCTCCGCACTTGGGTATTTCAGCTCCTCCTGCTGCTGAACCCGAGCTCTTTTCAGCTGTGCTCCCAGACTGGATGCCACGTCCTTCAGACCTCTGCTGCTATATTTTCCTGTAAACTCTCTGCAGTCAGCCAGCTCACACTCTGGCTACGTCCCAGACCAAAGTAAAGGTGCCTTGCAGAGGTACAGAAAAGTTGGCTGAAGCTAGGATCAGGCTATAGGGCTGGAAATTAGGAAACATATGCTTTATGATGGAAGTTGGCACACGTCCCAAGCACAAGACATTGGACAAGTTTGCTTATTCCTTCCTGCCCTCCCATTACTTCTGAAATCAAGACAGTCTTAAGAAGAGAATTTGAGGGGCTGTCTCCAGATAGAGCTCTGATTTTGGCTGGGCTCTGGGTGCAAATAACCAGTGATAGCATAAAGGTCACCTTTGTGAGCAGTTCACTGCTCTAAAATGGATAACAACTTGAAGAAAAAGCATCCGTCAAACAAGCCAGACAGAAAGAAAGTAGTAAGCACAAGAATATCCAGAAAGCTTTACTCTTAAAAAACCAAACTAGATATTTTTAAAGTCTAGGAGCCCATGTTTAGTGCAGATTTAGGGACTGTGCAACATCAGGTAAGTAATGAGTAATCTTTTCTGAAGCAAAAGTATGGCCTGGTCATAGAGCAGGACCCTGCCATGTGAGGAACAGAAGACAGTTCTTCTCCCTGCTGCTTAGAAAGAACATTTCCCCAGAAAACATCCCACGTCTCTGAACAGAAAAATTAAGAATCAGTGCTCACAATACCATTCTCAGAATCTGGTTTCTGGTTTCAAAACGAATATAAAAGCTTTGCACACCAACTTCCGATTTTTTGTTTTTTTCTGGTTTAAAGAAGAAAGCTGGACAAGAATGAGCAGGTGGGCCATATTCTGCCTTCACAGAGGCAAAAACAGGAGACGAGCAAGAATGCCAGAGCTTTGGAGGGGAAAGAACCGGCTCATTGACCCGGCTTCACAGAATCCTTTGGGAACTTGAGTCTCCCTGCTAACACCATTTGTATATAATCTCCCTCTATAGGCACCCAGCGAATCCCCTCTGGTGCATCAGGGCTGCTTTCAAATCTGTCTCTTTCTGACACACACATACATGCCCCAAGTTCAAACTTGTTTTTGAAGCAATAAAGAGATGCAGAGAAATTGTACATTTAAATGACATGGCGAGGTGGCCAAGTGTGAAGCAAACCCATCTCTCACATCTTTCATTTAAAAGGATGAGACAGGACAACAGAAAGCCTGCTGCAATCCCTGTGAAGAGGTCAACATCGAAACTGGGCCACGTAATTTGCCATTTGAGAAAACAACAACACGCAAATGGGAAGACTCTTTGGACCTCTGCTCATTAGGCAGGGAAACCATTTTGCAGAGGCAGTCTCCCCCTGGGAAAGAGGAGAGGGCAGCAAGAAAGGCAAGTGAACCGACACGAGATTGCCACCACGATGCGTGACCCTGTGGCAAGCGAGTCCCTCCGCTCCGTGAAACACTCAGAGAGCGCCGCTGCCCACGGGGTATTGTGGGAGAAAGCCAAATACAATGAGGCAGGCAAAAATGAAACCTAACAGCCCACGCAGAATAAAAGGAGAGCGAGGTATTTTCCCCTGTGATGAGACGCCGAGGAGTGCTTGGGTCCGGTCAGCCTTTCAGCCAATTTATTCAATCAGCTTAGGCTATCAAGGTGGCAATGGCGTCGCTTTTGTTTCAGGACTGAACTGCTGCGGGTCAATCCACCCCAAGCAAACCTGTTTATTTGCTTCATAGATGTTCAACACTTAAAGGTTAGTCAGCTGTACAAATGCTGGAAATAGCACGCAGGGCGCTCAAGGTGAGACTCAAGCCACCCGGGACAAACAAGGCTACTGAGCATCAGCGTGTTGGGCTCCAGCAGAGATAGCTACCAACTCCCCCTGCGCCCCAGATAGCCCCAGAAATAAAAAATGAAAAGAGGGGAGAGCTTGCCAACACACAGATACGAGTGCATATATTAATACTGCCTAACAGTATCTTCTTCCCTTTGCAGTGCTACCCTCCATGAGAAAAAGAAGAAAGCTGTACACTCTTGGAGACAGCTCCCACAGAGGACAATGCTGTTCTCAGCTCCCGTGAAAAATGAGGGATCTGGATGTGCTGCCCATGTCTTGGGAATCTGCACAAGCGTGTGATGATTCCCTTCTAGCGGCAGTGAAAAATATATACTGTGTAATCAACAGATAGCTAAGTCATCCTGTTCAACAGCTCTTGCACCAAAGTGATTTAAAAGACAATATTCAGTTGCTGAAATCCTTCCTGCATACCATCTGTAATGACTGTGAGACAACCATAGCTAGACAGGAGACCTTGTACTGCTGCTGTTTTCATTGTTGTCTGACATGTAGCTTTTTCTTCTAAAAGCAAGTGAGCTCAGAGAACGCAGGTCAAGAGTGCACGGCATCCACAACCGCCCACGTGAACCCCTTCGCCAGTCTGACATGGGGTTGCATCAGGTATTAATGCCATCAAACAGGGGTACTAACCATTTGGGGTGAATTTGGGAAGCCAGCAAGAATCCCGTGACCGATGTGACAAGACTCATTTAAGGACACTGCTGTGCCAAATCTGCACTAAGATAACATAAAATGGCCAAATTAGAGTATAACCAGACTTCTTTTATATAGGCAATACAGATTAAAAAAAAGCTGTGAAAGTTACATTCATTTTGCCCATCCTTAAAATAAGTAATTTTCCCTGTATTTGTAGAAGAAGAAAAGCTAAACATTACAATACAGGTCAGCTATAGTTCAGCGCAAAAAAAACCCAGGAAAACCATTTCAAATAGAAAACTTTTATTTGCCTAAACCTACAGAGATGAAATTTAGATCTGTCTCAGTTCAGCTGCTCAAATAGAAAGTATATGGCCTTTTTGTCCCACAACAACCAGTCAGCTCAGTAGCCAAAAAAGAGACGAGTTTGTGTATCTGTTACAGAGCTCTCTCCGTTTTCCCTGCCCCCCTTATTCCTGTATCTTTATCTCGTCCAGCAACATTGTTTTCTACCCCATCATACTCTCTGGCTATTCTTCCATAACCTCTTGCGCCTTCCCTAGACACCTATATTCCCCATGCACACAATTTTTCTTTCTAGCCTTTATGTTCTGCCACAAACTGCTAGTACTGCTTCCACAGACCAGAGTTTCCTAACTAAAGATGGTTATTGATGTACAGTACTAGTGTTTTAGTGCAGTAGCAGAATCAATAAACTAGGAAATACTGCTTTGTCAGATTTTTCCAGCGCATGCCGGGAAATATTTTTACTGCCTTTGGATGGTCACAGAGCTTTTCTTTAGAGATCACACTGGAGCATGAACTGTCTTCCCTAGGAAGAACTGAAGCTCTCCTACCCTCTAGTGACTGGAACAGAATAAGCACAGGGTTGCAGCTCTTTTTTTTTTCCCCTCCTTCCTCTTTTAAACAATACTTTCACTTCTCCTAACTCAGTACCATGCTTCAGCATCTCTTAATTTTATTTGAAAAGATGCTAAGGCACAAGCCAGAGTCTTGAGAACTGAACGACCTGCCGGTATGGCTTACAGTTAAAGGTCCAAAAACCTGTACGTAAAAAAAATTACTCAAAATGCAATGAGATATAGGGCGCAACCAAAAAAAGAATTCCAGCGACAGCAACCAAGACAGAAGTTTGGCTGTTCTGGACAAAAAGGACCAGAGTTTAAAAACCTGGCTCCCTTTCCCAGGACGCAAAGCCAACCAGCGTCAAGAGACAGCTGTGTGTGCACGCGTGAGAAAAAGGGGAATCAAGCTACACTGATTGAGTGAGGGCAGAGCAATTTCCAGAGCTTTAGTTAAAAACTAAAGTGCTGAGCTCTTCAATTATTCCATCACTTTCTGTCATACAGCATTCAGGGATGCCTGGCGGCTCTCTGCGCCGAGCACTGCGGGAAGGGCTGCGTTATCCCTGGAACCAGGGCTCGCCAAGCTGCCGTCCAGCTCCAAGGGCTGTACTTTGCACTTCTTCTATTGACAAAAATATACTTGCTGGCACAATACCTGAGAGGGTTGGCTCCTCACATTGCACATCACAGTTGTAATGAATAAAACAAGAGGAGGTTAATTATTCAATTTATTTAGGCACAAACCAATAGTTATATAGGGAAAATATCAAGATGCATATGTGTTCTCGTAAGAGCCAAATTCTGCTTTTTAGAAAGTTAGACTGTATAGCTCTCAAGCTGGGTACTGGGGCCTGCAGTTTCTATATCATTGTTATTTACTCAATGGCAAATTAAAGCTTTACAGAACAAATAAAAAGCCACAGTCTGTCTCCCGAACAAGTTAAAATCTAATGCAAGAATGAGACAGTACAGGAATAGAAAAGTAGTGGAAGCCTGCAGGGATACTACAGAGAACCAAGGAAAGCAAGTTATGTAGATATGTAGCAACACACAAATCTTGGAAATTCTGTTACACTGCTGGTAATGAAAACTGCCTGCTCGGTCTCCATCCCAAGAACAAAAGGAATTTCAAAAACCTACAGGAGCGACCAGAAGAAATACTGCCTCAAAAGTCCTCCCGTGGCGAGAGGCGACCCAAACGATTAGACTGGGATCCAGGAGACCCGTGTTCAACTCCAGTACCAACTATTGGCAACCTTTTGGGTGTCCTTAAACAACTCGAATCCTCCACAGCTCCTTTTTTTTGGTGGAATTTACATCCATTTCCTTAGTACAAACGGTTTTTCTCTCTTTCTACAGCTCTTTGCTGAATGGGGTCTTACTCTCGCTTGCCACTACACGCTACCATAGCGCCTACAATAAGAAAACAGCAGCAATTTCTCATCACATCGAAAAAAATCAAAAAAGTGAAGGGTATCACAGCCACCACATTAAGACAGGTTGCACCTATACTTCAGACTTTTCCTATGTTTACCCCTTCTGTTTCAGAGGAGGGCACAGATTTTGGGAGGGGACTTTTTTTTTTTTTAAGAGAAAAAAAATATGGATTACCTTGGATGAGGTTCGCTTCTTCCGACTTGACCATCTCTATCCATGGGTCCCCACCACCGTACCAAAGAGAACCCAGAGAGAGGAAACAGAGCAGGAGTAAAATGGAGAAAGTGTTTAGTAGCATAATTCAAACAGCAGCTTGTCAAATGTGTTAGAAAAGCTTATTACTAAGTAGGGGGCTGGATCTATGGCTGCATTCATCTACCTCCCCCCTCCCTCATGGAACAAAGCAATCAAACTCAAAATACCTGCACTGTACCAAAAAAAAGAGGAAATTAAAAAAAAGTAATCAAGAATAAAAAGTGGAGGGACCCAGAGCCACTGGTAAGAAACACGGCTTATACTTTTGGTGCCATCTGGTTCTACAGTAAGCTAATTTAAAAAGGGAAAAAAAAAAAATCGTCTTGCTGTTAAGTGCTAATGTGGACAGAGCCATTTCACTATTCTGATTCCACTGGAAATGGCTGAGCAATTTGCATTTGAAATATGAGGGCTTAAAACATCGTCTTTAAAAAAAAATTACAGTGCGCACCAACTCTTCTATCATCTGCACTCTGAATGTTAACTAAGCACCCAAGAGTACCAAAAGCTGTTACTTTAAACCAATGTATTTTCTGTCTCACTGGCTAGGTCCACTTTAGCCCACGCCTTCCCAAAAATGCCAGAAGAAGTCCTGAGGTTCTTTTGGCTAAACTGCTTTTTCGCTAAAGAAACTTTATGTCTTTGCTTCACCCCTTCCTGCCATCCAGTGACATGTGTGCCACCAGCAACACCCTCCTGTACAAGTTAGAGGGGGAATTCGCATCCCAGATCAAGGCCATCTCATAGTATAGATATATAAACACAACAACAGTGTCTTGAATGTTGTCATTAAGCTTTTAAATAATCACATATTGAGGTAGAAATAGCTCTACAATTATCTTAATATTAATTGAGATTTTACAGTTCTCAAAAAGGCAATTTATTGAATTATTTGAAAATCATTTATTGAAATTATTTGAAAAATAAATAATGAATGGCAGACGCCCCACATCAGCTTTTTCTTATTTTGCTTTCTAACCCCTTGAAACATTTACGTTTCTATAAATAATCCCATTCAGACTGGAATTCCATACCTATAATTCAATAATGTGTTGTAAACAGCAACTTTCATACTAGACTATATAGAAGACTTGTAGGAATATTTTCTCTTTACATATGTATTACACATATTTAATACGTGTAATATTGGTAAGCTCTATATGTGTAGCTCTGGTTTTCAAGCCAGTCCAAGTAAATGCCTGATCTTGGCTTTTCCCCATCCCTTGCTGGCCAGGGGCAGGATGAGTTCACCAACACAGGTATGCTCCACACACTACGTAAAACACCCGTAGGAATCTTAAAAGATGAAAACAACAGCAAAAACACACGTGCAGGGCCTGAAATTTAAAAACTATCAGCTTCAGTTGTGGTGTTCCCTGTTTCTGCCCGGGTTCTTCTGGGTTTCTAGCATCACTAAATGCACCATATTTCAGCACCAGGAGCCAAGTTCAACTGAACTCATCAAGAAACTCTCAGTGGCCAAATCAGGGTTTTTACAAGCAATCTCTTCCTCTCAGCCAGCGTGCTCCTCCGCAGGATTGGTGCAGTTTAAGTCTTAACATCAAATCTCTGCTTTTAGATTTCACACGGATATATTTTTCCATTGTCATGGGAGAAAAAAAAAAGAGAAAAAAAATAACAACTTTTTTTTTTTTTGAAGTGTTAAACTCCCAGGTGGAGATCAGAAAATAGTATGCTCTGGAATAGCAATCGCAGCAGGTACGGTTCATACATTCACTTCAGCAACCTGCACGTCGCAGTAACGGATACCACACCCCTGATAGACGGAGAGCACTGCACAGCGCGCGTCCCAGCTACGAGAGAACCATCCAGCTACAGATGTCTAAGCAACTTTTACCCAGTTAAATATGTGGCTTTTTTTAAAGCTATGATCTATCTCGATTTCAATATTGAATCTCGGAGGACGAAAATAAAGGTGGCATTTCCAAGTGAAGCAGATCAGGCCAGCTCTTCTCCCCCCCCACACACATTCCAGCTATAAATTTGATTTCCTAAGCCACTTACATTTCTCTTGATGTCTTCTTGCTTGACTGCTAGACTCAAGTTTAATACAATAACTCCCATGTCATCTTCTAAACTGTTGGGATCTTCCAGTTTTAAAACCTGTTCAATAGTTCTACAAGCAAAAAAAGAAGACGTGCATTGATTGACTCCAGTTAACTCGAGTTCATTATTAAAGGTCACACTGAGCTGTGCAAATTTCAGCTTCTTGTCTGAAATTCCCAATATTGAGTTTAAATGTTAAAACAGGAAATCTGGAGGGTTCCTCCTTAGTTCTGACAAAATACACCCCCCTTTTAATAACGCAGCGTGGTGTTTATATAGCATTGCTTAATACTCGTAACTCTCCATATGCGGATACACGCCGAATTAAGTTACTACTACCTCCACTTCACAGGGAAGAAGAGTGACAGGGAAACCCATCCAAGTGAATTTTCAAACATTAATGGCTGGGATTCGACTCCAGAGATATTTATTCTGCCTTATCTCTGCCTGCGTTTAATCTCCCTCCGTGACTCAGTTCCCTCTCTGAAAACGGGAATGCTGGTATTTACCTGGTGGCACTCTCTCTCAGATAAATTCATTAGTGTTTCAGAAATTCAGATACAACAGCCATGGGAGCTGTAACACACCCGCACAGGGAGAACTCATTTTCTCCAAGAAAAGAGTCGCACAGCGAGGGAGTATAAAAGAGAGAACTAAAACTCGAATTCCTGGCTTCCAGCTCCACATTGAGACCGAGCAGCAGCAGCAGACAAAAGGCGCAGGGCTTGCCTCCGCACTAAATCAGGGCCAGATGAGCTGCCGCGGGGACGGATGGCTGCGGGGGGAGGCTGGAAACGGGGCGCTCGCAGCCAGCCGGGCAAACCGCTCCCCAGCCCAATTATATACAGAAAAAGGCACCCCGCGCTACGTGGGGCTAAGAAGGGGTCTCAACTTTCTCCCCCCTTTCTTCTTCCACCTCCATAAATTATTCTGGTGTAGCTCTCCCTAAACAATGCCGCATATAGAAACTCTTATTCTTCCTAGACATGAAAAGGAAAGGGCACCTTCTGCAGAACTGGGCTCATCCGGGTTGGAGCTGAATCCTGTACGTAACGCTGGATAAAAACATGCGCGCACAGGATTTATCCCATGCGATTTCTTTTTTTTTTTTAAATGTGCTCCCCACCCTTCCATCAAAATAAGTTTTCATGAATAGACAAATTCCAAGCTAGAGCAAAAGCGTTTCGTTATTTTCCTATGTTTCTCAATTAAGCTGCATTAATAACCTTTAATTAAACAAATGTATTACCTATTGAGTTCAAGTTCAGCGAGCGCTACAAATGCCGAACCCATGAAGTCTGAAGAGGTTAAATCTCGATCGTACACCTGGTAGCAAAATAAAATAAATATTGATAATTTTCACATCATAAGCCAGTTTTATCCCGGCCAATAAAAGAACAGATATTTTGAGCCCTTTCAGTTCAATTTCGTATTTGAAAGATCAAAGCTTAGATACAATTCAGGGATAATTTTCCATCTCCCTGCTTTAATTTGTATTTTTAACTAAATATTTAAACAGCATTTTGAAAGTATCTTCTTAATATTGTGTAAACAGAGACATGTGTGCTGCTATGGATTGTGCCTGTTCCTTTATGCTCTGCGCGATAGCATAATGAAATGCTGCACAAAAATCAGGTACTTCTGGCTACAGATGTTTTAGCAATTAGTGCTCGCAACTGGTAGCTTGCAGTTCTGGTAACTGTAACGTTACTCATAATGAGAAAAGGCTTTGCTACTTGTCACGGCTGCATCCCAGGTAATAATTCTGTTCAACCCAGCCAAATTACACTCTTAAAACGTGCTTATGAAACCGTGATTGGTTTCACCGAGTTTGCACAAGCACGGTAAGAGCGAGCAGAATTTAGCTCCATAGCTTTAATCATATCCAGTCAAGGAGTTTTATTTCAACTTGGGTTTTTGCAGATGGAAAGCAAAACACGCGAGTAAAATCTGGAACAGACATATGTGCATTTTAATTTGAAATTGCTGAAACTCTTAAACCGGATTGTGTTTTACGTTACGCTGCTACAGTGAATAAAAATCAATACGTTTCTAAAGTTGAAAATAATTGCTTAAAAAAATATTGCCCCATCTTTCAAAAATCTAAACCCAAAACTTACCTTGATCCAGAGTTTTTGATTGAGGGTCTGTACAGGCAGCACAACAGTTTCATCCCAAACTGGGTTGCTGTTCTTGTAGACTACCTTACTTTTGTATAGAGTTTTCCCATTCAGTTTAAACTTCACATACGGGTCACTTGTACCTGTGATAATTAATAAAAAAATAGATTAGCATGCCCCCCCATAACCCCACAACCTTAAATTAGATATTCATAAAACAATAAACAATAATAAATGGTAATGACTTATTTTATATATACATGCATATACTTAATTACCTATATAAAAATTGCTAGTTCATACAGGAAATCTATAGAACAGAACCAGAAAGTTATTTGAAAGCAGGCAACAAAAATTCTTCATAGTTTGCTTGATCTCTGCTGTGTTATTCTTAAAGAACGTTAATTATTCTTTAGTAACATAGTTAACATTTTAATTAGGGAAAAGAGCAAACAGAAGCAGGGATGAGGGACTATTTACAGGCCAACTAACCACACGGGCAGTGGAAGAGAGAAAATGTGATCCTGTGACTATGAATATATAAAAAGATCAAAACTCAAAAGCATCGTAACTTGGGATAGGAGCTGCAAGGAAACCAGTAACAATAGCTAAAACGCTCATCAGGATTTCATCAGTGGTGTCACTTGCCAGTACACTTAAAACCAAATTTGAAGTTCCAGTGAAAAAATACTGACATTATTCACCCGCTCAGGATAAAAACCACACACAGAATAGACTCTGTAAAGACAAACAAACAATATTCAGGTTACACATTTTTTAATCCAAGTGGCACAATTTGCCACGGCAATAATGTCCCATATTTTTATGGAGCAGATGTCCATGGACAGAGCGTAAGGCTCGTGCCACTCGGCAGCAATAGAAAGACTTGCAGCTGTCAAAGGAAAACAGAAGAGGGAATCAACTTTTTATTATTATTAAACCAGTGGCATCTGCACTAACACCAACCACTGTGCAAGACACCATACAAAAGGGGGAACAAAGTGCACGAAGGCTTTAACTAGATGGTTGATTTAGTAATGCACACAGGCTTCGCAAAAAAAATCTCACAAGCTGCAAATAAGGGAAAGAATAAAATTGGGGTGTAGCAGCCTATACAATTAACTGATCCCAGGTGCCATTCATCTGTAATAGTCAATATTGTCTGTATTATACCTTATGTTTGGAATTAAGCTTCCCTCCTAACAGTTCAATTTCATTAGAAGAATAACAGCTAACGCGATGGTCCTGGCTGCCCCCCAGCCTGCAGTGTGGGCTGCTGGCAGGAAAAGACCAACTCCTACACCAGACTTGACATTCAGAAATAATCTGAACCCGTCCTCCCCGGGTCCCACTGAGATACTGGCCGACAAACGCATGGCAGTTCAGGATAACCCAGCCTAAGACCAATACTCAGTCTTGTCAGTAGTTTGGTGAAACGGTGAGAATGTGGAAAATCCATATTTAAACATCCAAAGCCCCGATCGGTGTTATGTGAAGGCAGACTTAGACTCAAGAAAAAATAGCTATGTGTTAGCATCTATTTGGAATTACATAGTACTGTAAAGAACTGTGCTCCTGGGACATAGACTTATTTTTAAGAATTATAGAATGTTTTTATTCTGTTTTAATTTCAAAAGGGAAGAGTTGTAAAGCCCTGGCCAATTCTGCATATAAAGGGTGTTTCATTGACAGAAGGAAATTATCAACTGGTTTTCAACTACTACCTACAGTTGATTCTTTTCCTAAATAGTAATTGTTGAAATCAACCCCTTTTTGTGAAAAAAGCTGCAAACTTAAAAAGACATCTCCTTTCCTGCTCCTCTAAGAGAGAATAATAAGGGCCCGATCCAAAGCCAGGGAAGTCAGAGGGCAGCTTCTTACTGTTTTCAATTTGTTAGGACTAGACCTTTCCCTAGAATACTTCTCAGAACTATGATTATACTCTTATATAAAACGTACAGCTTAAAACCAGCACACTTTCCACAAGTGGGAACACGCAGATAAATCGTAGTCCCACAACGTGGGCAGCAGCCCTCAGAGGATGCAGAAGTTAATAACAGCATTGAGCTCTTTGGTGTTAGTTTCTTCCAGCTCATTTAAAAATAAAATAAAAAAAAAAAAAAGAACTGGCTTTTATTTACAGGATAAGCAGGAGCAAGCTGCATTATTAAAAATAACAACAGTAGTAATAATAATGTCCACAACCTCTTCTGTGCATGAAATAGCAACTGGCCAAGACAAGGAAAGCAACTGATGAAACGAAAGCATGAAGAGGGCAATGGAGGCAGGTGGTCTATGGCCATAACTCAACCGCTTTTGGCACAGAAAACCCATGAACGAGGGCAAAACCTGAAAAGAGAGAGAGGAAGAAGAGACAGAGAAAGCAAACAGCCAGCAAGTTCAATATCTGCAAGTATAAAACTCCCAGCCTTTTATCCAAGGATGGGAAGCAAGACGACTATAGCTAAGTAAGCATCCCAATCGCATTATTGCTCTGAAAGCTTTCCATGTTGTTATACAGTAAAGGAAAATAAAAGAGGGGGAAGGGCTGCCCAGCACCGCTCATGTGAGCCAGGCTTTAGCAATCGTTCGCGTATCTGTATAAAAAAGAATGCCTCTATATTTACATGAATTTATATATATTTTATATATAAAAATATATATATGCATATGAAAGGAATATATATGTTTACAAAAATATAGATATTTATATAAAATATAAAAAAACAGTGAGGGGAAAAAAGCGATAATAAAAAGAGGCCTTTAATTAAAAAGGATTGCCACTCTGGGATCAGGCCTTCATGCTTGTCAGCTTACTCTCAAAATAAACATCTCAAACCGAGGCCTCAGTGGTGTCACTTACTCCGGCAAGGCACACTGGGTAATCCCTCACTATCTTGACAGCTACATAATGTTCAAACTCTTTCACGGGTGAACGGCGGCACTTGCGCGAAAGAAAATATTAATGCCAGGAATTAATAGAAAAAGGGATGATGGTTTACAAAAGCCAAACAAGGAAAAGGTGTCAAGTTAGTGCCGGTGTTAATTGTTAGGGAAAATAATTGCGGAGGGGCATGGGCTTCGGTGGCGCTCGCCTGTCTGGCTGTCAGAGGGGTAACATCTCAACTAGGCAGGCGGGGGAAAGGGGTCGGCGGCACAGGATCATACAAATGACGGGCTGACACCTCCACGCCGGCAAACAGATGGACTTTCACCTCCGCAGCGGGAGCTGGCGTGCACCGGGGCTCGGTGGCATTTGGTCGGGTGGACCTGGATGGCCAGGAGAGAATTGATGGGGCTGCATATGGCACCACAGCCCCTTTTGGGGCTTTCAAGGCTTCCCCCAAGTTGCTCCCGGGATGTTGATGAAGCTCCTGTACCTCCCTGGGTCAGCATGCCCATTTCTGTTTTCCTTTAAGATGCCCCAGATTGGGTTCAGGTGATCAAAATAGGTTAAAAAGGAGACAGGGAATGACAAATAAGCCAGGTGGACAAGCCCCAGCTGACGGGACAAACAGCACAGACTGCAAATTATTAACTGCAATTGAATTCAAGGCTTGAAGCCCTCTGGTTTCAAGATTGGAAAGATGTCTGGATCTATTAAAAGCTATTTATTAGAGACAATCTACAATCTAGCCAGAAAAGCATAACTTTTCAAAAAGCGCCTACTGATTTTAGAGATGAACCGGGCTAGAAAAGGATATATTTTCCATAATTTTCCTATAACGTGACAGGCACCCAATAATTTTCTGAAGAAGTCAGGCCATTAAAAAAAAGTAAAATAAAGCTTTTCGGCAGCCATTTCTTAGTGAAGGCAACCAAGTCAACTTTTAAGCACATGCACCCAGGCTCTTCTGCAATGCAAGGTCTGAACCTGTTCATCTCTGTCACATCAGCTGTAACCACGTCTCAACAGAGTAACGTGAGGAGACTGATTCTTCTTGAAATCAGTTGAGAATTTAGCCCGAGAAACACACTTCTCTGGTGGGAAGGCAAGGTGTGATGCTTTGAGGTTAATTTAAATGTTACGCAATGACAAGAAGGTTCTCACACAGTAAAATATATGGACAAAATATATAAAACCAACAGGATCATCTGCTTCTCAGCCTAAAACAAACCCAGTAAGAGTAAAAAGAAAGGATGACCTCTAAAAAAGTCATTCCATCAGTTAGACCTGTTTTCCCATTAGAGAAAGAACATGCATCTCAATTGTGATGCTCCCTTGAATTCATTTCCGTAATATCTATTTTACTTCTATTTTCTTTCACTAATACTAAAAAGCAATGCAGGCAGACCAAACATCAGCTAAAATCTGAGCAAGCTTCAGTGAGCAGAAGTTGCCGGGACACAGCAGCAGGACAGGGTTTAGTAGCCCAAGAAACTGTTAACGGTGTTTTTAAATGGATACTGCTGCCCTCTAGCAGCTACCGAGAGATGTATCACATCAACTGGCTTTAATACTACTACACACTTGCTTCATAATTCGGAAAAAAAAAACAAAACCAGGAGACCCGATATGATTTCAAGCCACGGACTATTTCACAGGAGTAAACTTACTGGAAACGTAGCACATGAAACAAATCTCGTTACATAAATAAATAAAAAAGTTACCACCAAGTTGCCTTAAAAGCCGGGGGAGGGGGGGCAGAATAAATCAAAGAACAGTGTGAAATATAACCTAGAACATCTTAAGTTTTTATTAAAAACCTAAACTTTAATCTGAAGAAGGAAATGAAGGATTTATTTTATATGCACGTAAAGAATAAGTTTTATAAAATCTTCCTAGAAATAGAATTACTGAAGTTATTTACAACAAGGAGCAAGAGACACTTTAAAATGGTACACACACTTTTCTTTTTAAGTGGAAAACCACTATATTCTTGTAGTGAAATAGCTGAGATCAAGGTTTAAAGGGGAAATAAAAAAAAAGTATTCTGCTGGCAGGAAATTCAGGTAATTTTGGAAAGTTTTGTGCCTAGCTAGTTTTACATGGCCAGATGGAAGTGAAACATTGCTTGGAAACAAGCATCACCAATAGGTTCCAAGGGAAAATAAACCAACAAACAAGCAAAAAAAAAAACCCACCACAACAAAAACCAATAAACCAAAGAGACCAGAGAAGTGTGAAGAATGCAAACAAACC